TAGCAATGTTAAACAAGTTTATTATAGATATCGTATCGCACTTCCAAAACAAGATTTACAATGTTAACGTGAGTGAAATGGTTCTTTGTCCACCCGCTTACAGGAACTGCTTATCATTGATGCTGGTTAATGGGACAATGAACTGCTTATGGAAAGCAATCGTGTGCCCGAAAAATCAAAAGAACATACAAATTATAGCAGTCAAGTTGAAAGCACATACGCTAACCATATGCATATGGTAGACAAATTTGGTAATAAAAATCGATTGCTGTTAAATGACCATTTTATGAAAAAATCTGCTACTCCTCAAATAAATAAAGTTACTCGTACATTCGATGTCAGGTGTGAACGTTAACTCATCTGTTCTGAACAGAGGTAAACTGGTACGAACCGAGGCGTGGACTCGACCTAAAACAACGAACTCTCTAAGGCCGCGTTCGTATGCCACGGTATACTTATACGAGTATATTAGCTCATATAAGCAAATTTACTCCTAATGAGTAAATTGACTATGTGAAACGCAGTTACTTATATAAGCAAATTTGTTACCGTAGTAAATTTACTACACCTCCAGAGGTATAGCAAAAGCAAATTTGCTTATAAGCAGATGAAGAGGAAGAAGGAGACGAAGAAAATGATGAAGAAAAAGAACAAGTGGGGGAGGCGAGGAATGAAAACTTTACTGTCGGTAATACAAAATTTGAGAATATGTGCCTGTGTTTGGAGACAAAGAAAGCAGAGGCCGAAATGAAAAGAATAGAGCTCGAAAAACAAAAGATCGAATCAGAAGAACGACAAAAGCGCGAGGAGAGAGACCATCCGTTTCGGATGATGCAGATGATGCTGGGCAGGATGGCTCCACAGTCTCAACAGCAACCTATTGCAGGTCCTTCACACTGGGGTAGTACACCATCTGGTACTGAGAACTCTTATGGGGACTCATATTATAACATGTAAAGTTTCATTTACATAAACCAGAGTATGGACTTACTCGCCTCACGTGACCAAAGACATTGGCCATCATATTTTGTTCATTTTCAATTATTCCAATTATTCCTTTGATAATGTGATTAATGACTTTTGTTGTTTGAGGATAATTGTGTTTGATAAATGTTTATGCACACCACTTCCGTAATCGAAGAGACAGTTTTCTTATTGGAATTATTTTAAAATATATTTATTCAATTTAACATGTATGAGTATTATTCCATTGTGATATATAACCGGATCCACTGGACTTTTCAATCCTTTTTGGTTATTAAAAGTGTGTGAACTGTAACTTTTTGGGCATTATTCAATAACAATAAAAGGTTTTGAGATGTTTTGAATCTCTTTATTGTTTACAGACAGACATACAGACATTTTATTTCAGTAATGTAGGCCCTTGGCCCATAATACAACATAGTGCAATTATAAAGAATACATAAATGCTGCATATTGAATGACGATTGGAGTACAGGGTCAATTGATAGTAATAGTGAGTGAGTGTCTTAGTTTTAATACGGTGGAGAGGAATGTAGTTAATGATTTTAGATAATTTATGTCGTTGCGAGTAATTAAACGCACAAAAGTTTCAATTGTTGGAGGGTGGGTCTGGTGGGTTGTGAAACATTTATTTCTTATTTCAGAATATTTACCACAGATGAGTAGAACATGTAACTCATCTTCAACATAGTTTAAACCAACAGAGTGGCAGTAAAGGCAGAGACGTTGATCATACGGTGTATTGGTGTGGCGGCCGGTTTCAACTGCTAATCTAAAGTTGTTACAGCGGAACATAGCAATAACTTTCCTTTGATATGGGAGGAGGTCACATGACAAGTAGTGCTCGACATTAAGTAAAGATTTAAATTGTGAATAATATTTACATTTAGTTGAAGAGTCAAGTGAGGAACGCCAATTTTGAATGAAGGAGTCATAAAATCGCTGCTTGAAGATGGATATAAATGTTTTAATGCAGCCAATTTCTTGTGAGATCCATACAAACCCAAAACCATACTCAAAAAGGATTTGTCTTATATGTGAAGCCCAAGTAGATTTAGTATTATCATCGAGAGATTTGAGCATTTGGTAGGCCTGATAAGGAAGTCTATGATGTTGTAGCTGCAACAGTCTGCACCAGTACATTATTGATCTAGAGGTATAGTGGTATTGCAGTGAGAGTCTGCCACACTCTCCAAGCACCATGCTTTTGTTGGTATACTTGCTGACTTTGAGAAAAGTCTTACAGAACTTAAAATGTACAGTTTCAATATGTCTGCAATAAGTGGTTCCCCAAATCTCTGATCCATAACAGAGAATAGGTGTAATCATGGAGTCAAATATCTTACAAATGTCCTTGTGATCAATACATCCAAAATGTTTCTGGTAATTATAGATGGAGAATATAGCTTTGCTTGCTTGAGCTGCTAAACAGGATTTGGCTTTAGTCCATAACAATTTAGGGGTGAACACAATCCCAAGATATCTGTACATATTCACAACTTCTATTTATTCACCTTTTAAAAACCATTTCTCACAATAACGGAGAGGACCACCATTTCTAAAAACAATAATTTTTGTTTTGTTCAGAAAACGATATTGTTTACAAAACGATATGAACACATGAATGGAAAGTTCACTGCAACATATCATATTCACATAAGATATAAAGAATGGAAGGTTCACTGCAGCACAAAATATTCTGCCAAGTCCTTGTGCGGAGTTGTGGCGCTGAGGATTACATTGTCCTCTGGATCCACCTCATCCACATCCTCCTGGTCCTCTAGGTCACCGTCCTCTTGGCCAAATGCTTCATGGTGCATCTCACAGAGATTATGCAGGACTACACACGCAATCACCACTGAACTAGTGAACTCAACAGAGGTGTCTAAGCGCTTCTGAAGACAACGCCATCTACCTTTCAGGCGCCCAAATGCACTCTCTGTAGTCATACGGGCACGACTTAGGCGGTAGTTGAATGTGGTCTGGGAGAGGCTGCGGTTAGCCCTGTTAGTAAAGGATTTCGAAAACCAAGGTTTCAGGGGATAGGCTGCATCAGCTACGAGAATAATCGGCATGTGAAACTCCTTGTTGGGAGTCGTTAGTTTCTTTGACCTGGTCCACTGAGGCAACAAATCATCCGTCTCTCCTTTGTGGAAAAGCTCAGAGTTTCCCAGAACACGCGCGTCATGTACCCGTCCCGGCCAGCCCACGTTGATGTCAGTGAAGATATAGCTGTGATCACAAACGGCTTGCAGAATCACTGAATAGTATCCCTTTCAATTTAATTAGTCACCATGGGCATACGCGGGGGCGATGATAGGAATATGAGTGCCATCAAGGGCACCTGCACAGTTTGGAAAATCCCAGGTTGATTCAAATCCCTCAATAACAGCTTTTAGAAATGAGACATATGTTGGCAGCATTGTCTCCTCAATTGCAATACATACATCCCTCACACATTACCATACTGTGGACTTGCCAACACCAAACACATTTGCGAGGGTCCTATATTCAGCCGAGGATGCAAGCCAGTATACTGCGATCAATCTCCAGTCTGTCTCTGACAGGTCGACCTGCACAGTTTGATGTCAAACCAGGTTCAAGCTCTCGACACAGAATATCAAATGTTGTCTTTGTCATTCTAAAGTTCTCTACTCATTCTTTACTTGTGAATCCTTCTTTGACAACATTTGACCACCAATGCTGAGATCTGGGCTTCACTCATATCCTCTTCTGTCTTGTAAGCCCTAGAAGCAGACCTGTGCTAAAAAAATAAGGGAAGTCCCGACATCTTTTTCTTTCTAAAAGCAGTGACTGCATCTTATCAGATCAATGGTACACTCTAAAATGACGATAAAAATACAAATACTCATATAAGTGCACTGAATTGTGCACTTTGTGTTACAAGCATGAAATTTGGCATGATTTAGCTTATACCCTTCTTATTAAATAAAGAGCGAGAGGCCTCGCAGATTTTTATATTTTTCATAATGTTTCGGGGAAAAGTGAAAAAAGTAAACATTTTCTACTCATTTCATCATAATTTCTTTCAAAATTCTCCAATTCTCATAAGTCATATATCAAATTGTAGGAAATTCATAGCTGATCATTTTCCATCTCTACATGCTTTTCTATGTTAGGTCTACGGAAGTCAATATATAAATATCATGACTAACCGAAAATGGGAAAATTGGCGGCCATTTTTCACAAAGTGCAAAATTTGATCACTTATCCGCTATTGAGGTGACCATGCTTGTTGATCAAATGCGTTTGACTATGATTTACATGTGACAAGTCATTTTAGTGTTGATTCATAAGGGATCAGGTACTGGACAGAAAACTGTGTTGTGTCATTCGACTTGAAGTGAAGTTCAAAGATGCAGCTGTACCAAATGTTAACATTTCTACCAATGTGACAAAGTAGTTTCGGTAACGTGATATTTTCACTGCAGTTTTCATGTACGCATCTTAACATAACAATATGATCTATTTACAACTTAGAACACGGGCTGTAACAATATTATTAAGTATTTAAATGTTTTCTGTAACAATGCTATTTACAATCTATAACACGGACCAAAAGCCCAAATTTACAAACAAGCAATTATGACCTATACGGGCTTGGATACACAGGTGATTATTTTTGTGATAATTGCACATGTGCTTTTCAGTGATTCTCAACGTTGATTGGTCAGCTAAGCAGAGAAGAAATATGATTGGTTGACGGAACTACTTTTCATGATCTACGTTTATTGACAACTTTTACCGTTTCAATGATAATTAGAACGTGCTGTACTCACACATTCCGATATTTAAAAAAGAAAACATAAAGGTTAAAGAATATGAATACTCTTCTTATTAGACATTATTATTTTGCAATAAAATTGCGTTATAAATAGTAGTATTTCTAAAATAAATAACCTTAAAAAACCCAAAGCAATCGTTTGCAATGTTTGTAAACAAACATGGCGGCCATTAGGCTAACCCCGATCAAGGCCCGAAAACCTCTAATCCAGTGACAATGGTGTACCAGTACATCAAATCATGCAACTTTCCGGACACAAAAATGTTCAATCAATAAACAGTTACTCTTCAATTAATGAGAAACAACATCAAGTCCATCAATAAATTGTTGTCCAACCCTTGTATCTCCACCACTCTGTCCACTCATCCTCAGCCTCAGGCTGCCACCATGACGTCACAGTCTTTGTCGCATGCCGTAATTCTTCATTCTCTACATACACTATTCTCAGGTCCAACTTGGGGTAGTATATTCCACTTCAATATATCCGAATGACTGCTCTGTCAGTCGACCATCTGCTCCAAAGAGGCGTACTATTCTTCCCATTGACTCGGATTCCGACTAGAGTTATCCTTCTTGGAACTGTTCATGCTGTACTCTACTCAATTGTTTAATCTTCAAACTTGACAGAAAACTTGTTCTACATGTATTTATGGGATGGTTGTCTATTAGATTTCCAAACTTTTAACCGTTGACTTTCCCCCAAATTGACCGGTTTTTGCCAAAGTTTCAACCCTACACCTTCACCCGTCACTAGACACACGTCAGTCGTGAATGAACGATGTTCCGTCGCACTGACTTGATCAAATAACGGTTTAGCTGTTATTATGTTCAATGATATATTTAAAAGATCATTTTTACCTTATTAACAAATGTTAATTAATTATTCCAGACAAAATATTTTTGTTGTATTTTAAAGCGATTTTACTAGGTACTATTTTCCATAGCGTAGTTATGTTATAACCGCTGGAGAAGTTAGGTTAAAGTAATGTTCAGTGCCTCGCCAATGCTTCAGTGAACATTATTTCGATTGGAGATTTCCGTAATCACTGTTAGAGGAGTTGGTGAGCAAATAGGACGATGTTTAGAATTTGGCAGATGAGCGCTTTAAATCAAGAATGACGACAGTCATTTGAACAAACGTCGGTGTAATGCGATCATGTCACAAAGCACCGTATTGTATATTTATATAGATTTCTTATTATCAATATTGTGTCACAAATCTAAAATATTATACAGTTCCAGAAAATTCCTGCTGTCTTACTCGATGTACACTCGATTGGACAATCATATGAGAGGAGGTGAAATTTCTTGCATCTTCTAAAGCAATCCTCATCATCCGCCAAAGGACCGCATAACAAAGAGGAGGTAATGTTATTTTGCAGTATTACAATTCAGGTTAAGTCTGCAATCTTATTTACCACACAACAGTTTCGGTTTTCTTCCACCACACGTTCCATTTATTACATCCGGTCATCTCGTCTTACAAAACACACACTCATGAGCGAAACGAAATATTCCGTATCTGACAATACCGACCCGACATCCCTCCCCTATCAGAGAAATGCTGTAATTACTGTAACCTTATAGCTTAAACAAATATTAACATAAACTGACATTTCTGCAGAATCATGAAGTCTGGACAACTTGAGCCAAATAACTAAGCATACCCTCAATACACTACTTTATGAACTCCAGCTCTTGTGTCTCAGTCAGTATCAAGATAGTCAGAACTGAAATTAAATGTTGCAAACTACTGAACCAAGTCAAAATAACATGAATACTTATGTCCATGAAACTGAACTCTCAGTCTATGCTGAAACAGTAAAACTATCAACTTAACGATGGTTAAGCAATCAGATCCCCAATCAGTCAAGCATAACAAAGTCATCAAACTTCTTTGGAACAGACTTCTGTCTGTCAGACCTCCTAAGACACTGATCAATATCCACAGTCTCTGAATGGCTAGCTTTATTGTCATCAACTCGTGCACCGGTTGGTTCTGTCAGATTGTTCAGCTGTGACTGATATGGCTTCACATGCGAAGTATTACGCCTATACTGAGCACCATCCTCACTTTGCACAGTCACCATGCTTCCTGCCTTAGAAATAACTTCAACTGGTGTTGGGAAATAAGGTGTTTCTACCTTACTCATGTGTTCCCTTTTAAGCAACACCTTGTCTCCAGGAACAATCTTGGACTCTGCGGCATGGCGTTTTTCATCGGCGTACAATTTCGATGAACCTTTCTTTTCGGCGTCTCTGTCACGAACCTCATAGTCAATGGATTCAGGAATCAAAACAGGTAACTTAGTTCTCATCTTCCTTCCAAACAACAGTTCAGCTGGGCTTTTCCCAGCTACTGTGTGGAGTGTTGCACGGTACTGAGTGACATATACCTGCAGTGCCTCTTTCCAGTTCTGCTTTGTGGCATGAGCAATCTTCAATCTCTTCACTAGAGACTGATTTTGTCTCTCCACCTCACCATTAGCTTGAGGCCAACGAGGAGTTACTCGATGGTGTTCAATACCATTGTCCGTCAGATAGTCTCCCATCACCTCAGATACGAACTGAGGACCATTGTCTGAGTAGATTGACACAGGCAATCCATGTCGTGAGAACATACCTTTGAGAACATCTACAGTTTTCTGTGCTGTGGTTGATTTCATCACCTTGTATTCATAGTATCTACTATAATAGTCAATCACCACAAGAATCGATTCACCAGATGGTAATGGACCAAGGAAATCCATTGCAAGGTTTTCCAAAGGTTTTGGTGGCAGTTCTGTTGTCTGAATAGGTTCTGGAGGACTCGGCTTGCTGACCAGCTGACAACCGTGACATGTTTTGCAGAGCCTTTCTGCATCCTTATCCATATTTGGCCACCACACCTTGGATCTCAAGTTCTGCTTTGTACCAACAACACCAAGGTGCCCTTCATGTGCAAGTGACAAAACTCTGGGTCGCAAACACATGGGAATCACTATTCGATTACCTCGCAACACCAACTTCCCTATTCTGCACAATTCAGAACTCACAATCACATATTGCTTCAATTCACAATGATTCCAATCACTAGAATCAATACACTGACGCACCATTTCCAACTCATCATCCGTTGCAGAAGCTCTCTCGACTTCTCGAGTTGTTACAGCCTGAGGCGTTGCATTCACCGCTACAAATCTGACATATTCTTCAGCACTACTTGACACAGCTTGAGGTTTCACAAACTGTTCTCTTGACAACCTGGACAACGGATCAGCTATATTGCTCCTTCCTGGTGCATACACAACCTTGAAGTCGTATTGTTGGAGGCGCAAAACCCAGCTTTCTATTCGAGCACAGGGTTTGGACTTTGGTGAATATATTGCTTCTAGGGGTTTGTGGTCTGTGACCAACTCAAATGATATCCCATATATGTACGGGTGAAACTTGCTGATGAAAGTCTCTGAACGACTTGCTCAAGTCGTTTATTATGCTCATCTGTGGAAGGACCATGGACAACAATGTCATCTGATATATTGGCAACCCCTGGGATTCCTTGAAGGGTTTTCTGGATTTCATGCTGATATATCTCAGGTGCAGCATTTATCCCAAACAGCAGCCGCTTATACCTATACAGTCCACAATGAGTCACAAAAGTTGTAATGTTACGCGACTCAGGATGTAACTCAAGTTGATGGAAACCCAACTTCAGGTCTAACTTTGAGAAGACTCTACTTTCACTCATGTCCTGTAACACTTCATCTATTGTAGGTATAGGGTGCCTTTCTCTCAAGATAGCTTCATTGGCGCGTCTCATATCCAAGCATAGCCTTATATCACCTGAGGCCTTTGGTACAATGACAACAGGATTCACCCATGGGGTCGGTTCTTCCACCGGCTCAATAATATCTTTCGCAATAAGTTCCTGAACTTTGGACTCAAGTTTTCCGCGCAGTCCAAATGGAACACGTCGCATTGGCTGGGCAATAGGCTTAACTTCTGGATCAATTTTCAGCTTGATCTGCTTATTTTTCATTTTCCCAAGTCCAAGAAATACTTCAGGGTACTTGTTGAGGCACTCAGGAATCACTGATGAAGAATGCACTGAATTGATATTAAGTCCAATCTTCAGCACGCCAATCTTCATAGCGGTTTCTTTGCTGAGGAGCGGTTCTGCCCTACCATCAATCACAGTGAACATGGCATCTGTCCTGTGATCCCCAGCTACTACTTCTGCTGTGAAAGTGCCTAGAGTTTTCAATGGTGTCCTACTTGCATATGGAAACAACTTTTTGCCACCCTTCTGTGACACACACCTGATGTTCTTAGACTTCAAATAGTTCCACGAGTTAGCATCAATAATGTTACTATCACTGCCAGAGTCAACAGTAATGTCAATATCAACACCACCCACAGACACTGGAATGACTTCACTGCTATAACCATTGCCTCTGTTCACGCTGTGCACATTGCTTCTCATAGGGAAAGCATAACCTTGGCCTTCATTATCTTCATCATCACTGTTATCTCTGCCTGTTTTCTCAGTTTCTAAATGCTTCACATCACCACGGCCATGTGATTTCCTGTTAGTTTTCTTGCCTCTGTAACCACTTCTATCTCTCTTTTCTTTTGATCTAGATGACTTTCTAGATAAGTCTGAATAGCATTTAGAAGCAAAATGGTCAAACCCTTTACACCTTTGACATTGTTGACCTCTTGCGGGACATGTAGAATCTCTGCCGTAGTGACCAACTTGTCCACAGCGGAAGCAGGAGTTGTCAACTTTCCCTGTCTGATTACTATTCCTGTTGAATGTTTTCTGTTCTCGTATTCTTTGGACCCTATCTGACTGTCCCCCTTTTAAGTTCATATCTTTCATCTGTTCCTCGACAGCTTCAAATGTTGCAGCCATTTTCAACATTGATTTCAATGAAAGTTCATCTCCTTTTCCAGAAACTTGCGTCTCAAATGGTCCGACTTACAATTTTCAACCACCTGATCACGAATCTGGTTTTCAACATCCGTATATTCACAGCCTTCAGATGCCTCACGTAACCTTGTTACATACTGTGACACAGTTTCATCACTCTGCTTCATTTTCCTGAAAATATGGCGTTGGTACGTCACATTAGGTTTGACAGTTAGATGGTCATTCAAAGCCTTTTTTGCCTTGAAATATTCTTGAGACGACCCCCGATCTTGCAACGTCTTAAAAACACCTCTAAGTCCAGCTCCGGCTAT